ATCAGTCTTATTAATAAGAAGAATAACATCAGCAAAAAGCACACACCATGGTAGAAATGTCTAGTTAGAACATCCATCACTAAAACAAAAAGATATGGGCTTAAGACTGATCCTTGATATAATCCAACTGAAATAGGAAACTACTTGGTCAAACCAACTTGTGTTTGACCACAAGTAACAACTTCTGCATACATATCTTTAATAACTTGAATATAAGCATTATTAACCCTTTTCTCATGTAGAACTCTCCATAGCACTTCTCTTGGAACTTTATCATATGCTTTCTCTAAATCAATAAAAATCATATGTAGATCCTCCTTATTCTCTCTATACTTCTCCATTAAATCTCTCAATAAATGTATAGCTTCCATAGTAGACCTACCTGGCATGAATCCAATTTTATTTTGAGAAACATTAGTCACGCCGCAACATATGCTCCATAACTCTCTTCCATAGTTTTAAAGTATGACACATTAACTTAATTCATCTATAATTTGCATAATCTTGTGCATCACCTTTATTCTTAAAAATAGGAATCAACACACTCATTCTCCACTCATCTGGCATCATTTTAGTCTTCAAAATAATATTAAAAAGTTTAGTAAGCCAAGAAATTCCTTCATTTTCCACACTTCATTTTCTTTAAAGCCTCTTTAACTTCAGTTTTACTGATACGCCGATAAAAACAAAAAACTTTATTTTCATTTAGGGTGTTAAGTCACTAAAGTGAATCGCATTCTCGTAATCTTCATTGAATAGTATAGCAAAATATCTCATCCACCTTTGTTGAATATCCTCTTTAATAAAAGCACTTTTTAATCTTCATCCTTAATATACTTCATTTGAACTAAATCCTTACTACTCTTATCTCTTTTTTTAGCTAACTTATATATATATATATATCTTTCGCCCTCCTTAATATCTAATATATTATATAAATTATTAAGTTAAAATATTTGCATTGCAAATTACTTTCTTAGAGTCCTTACATGCCTCTTTTATATATTTCTCAATCATCAGAATTTTTACAGCTAAATTAAATTTTCTTATTTTTATCTTTTATTGCATGTTTTGATTTCACTCCCAACTATTTTTACTATCATAAGCTTTTCCCTTTGATACTCTACACATCTTTTGCAATATTCTTAACATCATTAGCTTTTTTTTTTCCACATAACATTAGTTTTCTCATGCAAAGATAAAATCTTAAGATCTAGAATCTTACTCTCAAAAATATTTTTGTTAATATTCTTTAATTGCCCCTATTTGATCCAAGAACACTGATTTACTTTATTTTTTTTATTTTCTGCCTCATTATCTTAAAGTTTAAAACTAATAAGCAATGTTGGGTACATAAACTTTCACTCAAATAACTTTATAATCATTGCAATCTAAAAGATCAATTTTTCTTATAAAAAAATAATCAATCTGAGTTTATTATATCCATTCTTATAAGTGATGAGAAGATAATCTCTTTTTTAAATAAAGTATTAGCAATTACAAAATCATAAGCTAAAGAAAAATCTAATATGGCCTTACCACATTCATTAGTCGCTCCAAAGCCATAGCCACCATAAATGCTTTTTAAAATTATCTACCTCTCTACAAACATATCCATTTAAATCTCCTCCAATAAAAATTATTTTTTCGAGAGATATCTTTTGTATTAATTCTTCTAGGTCATTACAAAATTTTAATTTTGAACACATATCCAAACTAACTTAAGGAGCAGAAGCACTTATAATATTAATAATCTTAGCATCAACAATAATCTTTAAAGTTATAATTCTATCACTAATTCTATTAATTTTTATAACATTATCTTTCAAACTCTTATCTATAATCACGTACACCATTTCTAGTACGACTCGTATCAGAAAATTATAGTTTAAATCCTAAACTATCAATCTCCTTAGCCTTCTCTCCAACCCATTTAGTTTCCTAAATGCATAGAATATTTATATTCCTATGAATCATAATATCTATTAATTTCATTAATTTAACTATAAGGAAAAATATATTCTATGTTTCTATCCTAATTTTAGTTTCATGAGCCAGCTTCTTTGCTCACATCCATCTATGATGTGAGAACTCTTGCCTATTTAGCACTGCACCTAAGTACCCGTGCAACGGGTCTTACTCACTTATCGTTGTATTCAGGCCATACAACGCGTCTCTTTCAGGGAACGCCCTAGCATTAACATAATGCATTAAATAATTCATGCCATGATTATACACAACCCTCCACTTTTCTCATCCAAGACTTGGGACCTGATAACGGCAAAGCGAAATCACTATTGGATTAAAATTAAACATGTCCATTCCACAATAAAATAAAAGACCACTTGTAGTGTGACATACCATGCAGTCAACACAGACTTAGGCATACTAGGATTAAATTTTTTCTTTTGTGCGCATTTGATTATTGTATTTGATGTAATACCTATTGAATTGTTTACGCGAGCATTTACTGTTAAGTGGCTAGGATATATATTATGTGCTTCTTTCTGTAAGTGGCCATATTCAAAAAGAGATAAATAAATCATAATTATTAAAACTAGTTGCTTACACGTGCTGCTTAAAACTCCTAAAGAGTCATAGTCAATAGGATCGAAACAGGACTTGGCAGTTGGTACTTTTAGTGTCAGACAATTATGAAATGTTTCTTTCTTTTATATATTACATGCTTCGTAATCCCACTGTTATGCAAGCTTGAGTGTTTATTTTTCAAATGTACTTAATAAACTTAAGAAGTATTATAGGCATGTGTGATATAGTTATAAGAGAGATGAACCTCCTAAGTGAAGCCCTGAATACATCTAGAAGTCAAAGCTTAAAGACTCACATATTGAGTCTCTAAAATAAATAAATGAGTTGTATAAGGTAGACAACTCAGTTGTCATTCATAATTGTAATAATTTAAACATTGCTTACTTTGCTGTTAGTTGATTTTATAAACACACACGATTATTTGTTTATAAAAATGCTTGGTTTTTCTTAGGTCCGTTCATTTGCTTTTGCTTGGGGTGACCTGGACATGCGTTATACAGTAGGTTCTTAGAATAAAATTAAAATTTCTACTAATTAAAGAATCTAAATAAAGAAAAGAACCATAGGATAATATATATTCTTTTTTTTTTCAAAAACTACATGGCTTATTCAAATAAAGACATTTTCATTTTAAAAAAAATGAAATGATCATGCATAGCCCAATGTATCTCATATAGAAAGCTCTTAATTTAAGGATTAAATAACAAATAAATCTGCATTTAGTGAGTCAGTGTTTGTATACCCACACGATCAGACATCTTGACCCAAAAGTTGTAAGTCCTATCATTTAAATCAAAATAGTCTTACCCATCTTGCATATTCATTTAGACCATGCCTCATGATTTTAAAAGCGTTTATGTGGGTTAGTTGGCGACCCTCTCTAAGTAGGGTTGTAAGTCTGGAGGTTGACTTACATTTAGGTTATGTGTATGTTTGTAAGTCTCTTGCACTTAGTTAGAAATAAGTTCGATATACTACCTCTCAGTAGTCTACACCTTAGATCTGAGGCTAAGGTTGACTCCAATCACCTCATAAGCCCTCACATTCCTGGCATTTCCTTCAACCTATGTTATTGAAATATAAGTCCAAACTTTCTAAATCAAATTGATCAACTCAAACAAAAAATCTAATTTTAAAATATAAAACCCAATACATGATAGTTTGAGCACCTCTGAGTTTCTCAGAATCAAATGCTCTTACATTTTCCTCTTGTTGGCTTATATTCCTAAAATTTGTTTTAAAGTTGATTACATCTCCCTTAAAATTCCAAAGATCAAATCTTTGAATAAGAATTTCTCAAACTAAAAAAAAAAACATATTATCTAATATTTTTATGACAATAAGAAACTACTAGTTTAATCAAAAGTATTTTTAAATAACCAATACTTAAGATGTAATTAATTAACCATAGGGGTATGGGACATTCGTACATAGAATAAAATAGGTTTTATTTAAATAGATATTGAATAAGAGAAAATATCTGTTAAAACATAAAATTGTGAGTTTTGTCATTAAATTCATAGCAAAATAATATTTTTGTCTTTCGGGATAATATATTATTTTTTATGTCGAGCTCGATCACAAAATATTTCAATCCATTGAGGATGACAAAATTCCACCAACAAACCTATGAAAGAAAACCTAACAATAAATTGAGAATGCATAAAGATTTTTAAAAAAGCATTGTTTTAAGATATACCCAAGTTACATACATCGCTATCTAAATATAAAAATATTTCTAATTAATATATTTATATACTAACATTAGTGTTAGACGATAAAAACATCATTCATTAACAATATGAGTTTGTAGAATTAAGAATGCAGAGATAGATGTGAGGTAAAACAAAAAAAAAAGATGAGAAATTATTATAATAATGAATGATAGGTGTATATTTAACATAAAATTGTGAAAATTAAACTAAAGTGATTTGGGCAAAATTAATGTTAAATAATCTAAAATAAAAATATGTATATCAAAATTAACATATAAAAATTTTCTGAAACATAGAGTGAATATGAGGATTCATAAATCCGAGCCTAGATAGTTGAGATAAGCTATAACGGCAATGACTATAATTATCATCATCATCGCTATTTAATTTCCTGTTTCACATGAGAATCAAGTAGTTGGATTCCAGCATGCATAAAAATCAAAATTTGAAAAACTTTTAATATAACTGGAAGAAGATGGATTCATTACCGATTCAGGTGATTCTTCACTTTGAACATGTAAATCAGTTATAGCAAGTAGATCAAATAAGCAAAGAAATCAATTATACTTTGAACATTTAAATCAATTATAACATGTAGATCAATTTAGCATATAAATCAATTATACTTTGAATATGTAAGACCTAACCTTCAAAAGATAAAGGACATAACTGTTGAGAAAAAAATGTAAAATTTAATTAAATTGCATGTCACGATGCTTAAATAATTAGGTATACCTGATTATGTTCATATTCATAGAAGCCACTACTTCCTCTTCAGGTGACAGTTCCAATTTTATTGGCCTGTTTATTAAAAATATATAAATACCGCAGGAGTCAGAACTTGAACTACTAGAGTGCAAATGACTTTGAATAAATCGAATAGCTGATGTAAGAAATGAAATTACATGCTTTAAATATTTTACAAGACTATGAAGACAAATTAACTCATACAGGCAATTCCGCAACAAGAGTCCAATACAAATAATATGCTCATTGAAGCATTGAACATTAAGATAAAAGATCAAATTTTGTATGAATACTGTCAATATTCCTTCCAGAATTAAAGGTCAATTCAAAAGCATGTCAAAAAAAAAAAAGTAGCATTTCAACTTCATTCTTTCACAAACGTTAAGCTAGAGCACTCCATGCATCCTGCCCATACGATCAAATTATGTAATTAATTTATATGCTGTCATGTTATATTTTAACATGTAAGATCTAACTCAGAACACGTAAATCAATTATAGCATGTAGATCAAATTAGCATATAAATCAATCATACTTTGAACAAGTAAAATATAACCTTCAAAAGATAATTTAAAGTCACTCATCCACCTAAGCATCCTCATCTCTGCAACACTTAACTTAATATTATACTTCTCTTTTAATGACCAACATTCTGCTCCATAAAACATTACATGTCTCACAACCATTTTATAGAATTTTCCCTTAAGTTTGAGAGGGGGCTTTTTTATCAAACCACAAGCCCGATGCATTCCTCCACTTCAACTATCCAATTTGAATTCTACTAATAATATTCCCATCTATTTCACCAATCACTCTGAACAATAGACCCAAAATATCTAAAAGGTGTACTATGTATTAATGACTTGATTGCCCAAAGTCACAATCCCCCATTGGATCTATTACAACTAAATTACACTCCATATATTCGATTTTAGATCTACTCAAACAAAAACCTTTAAACTCTATGGTTGACCTCCATAAGTCAAGTTTACATTCATCTACCTCTCTAGTTTTATCAACAAGAAGAATATCAACAACAACAAGCATAGAACGCGGTACAACTTCTTGCAAATGTCTAGTAAGAACATCCATGTAAATACTTGGTCAAACCACCTTGTGCTTGAACACAAGTAACAACTCCTGCAAACATATCTTTAAATAAACACTATTGATGTAGGCAGAGGTGGAGAATTTCAATTTCAATTTCTTTCCTAATTGGGAAATTCTAATTTAGAAAAGTTTTCGAAATTTTGAACTCAACCTCATTCCAAATGAAATTGGATTCATGAGACAAAATTTTCCTAGTCATCGTCTTGATTTGGAATCCTCCACCTCATCCCAAACTCCCCTCTTCCTCCTTGATGCTGCCGGCCGCCCTCTTCATGGGCCTCATTAATTGTGCAATTAATCCCCCCCTCTTATTTTGAAATTCAAATCTTAAGCTCAAATAAATCCCTCACATTTCACTTAAAACTGAAATTAATTCAATTTTATTTCTAAACCTAGCTCCTCTATTGATGCCGCCGGCCCCCCTCTTGGTTTGCAAATATTGGATTTTCAATTAATGCCTTTAATGCACTTAATTGGGAATTCAATCACTAATTTCTTCCCTCCTAATTCCCCTAAAAACTGAAATTAACTTCAGTTTTGCTGCATAAACACACACCCCTCCTCTCCCTCTCTATCTCCACCGCCGGCACCTCCCATCCCCTCTCCAACCCGCCGCCCTTCGCTCCCTCCCATTGGAGAGCCTCTTGCGGCGACCACCCATTCTTACCTTCAAGAATGCATGGAGGAACCCGAGTGGAACTTCGGGTTTGAATATGACAACCAAGGAAAAGTTGACATCCTCAAATCGCCATTCTTCGACGTAGGCTTTGATTTCGACGACACCGTCGAAGAATATTTGGATCGGATTCTACCAACAATAGTGGATTCCATCGACGACCACTTTTTCGTCTACACGTGGATCATTAAAGGTCATCCTGCCGCACCTCCTCCACCTCCAAGCTCCTTCCCCGTGGCGACGATCATTGGCTCCTCCCTCCTCGTGGCAACCTCACTACTAGCTTGGACGATCTTCCGCCGCTCAACCTAGTTTCGTAGGAAAGAGAGAAGAGGCCTCAAGGTGAACAACTCCTTATTAGTTGTGGGATTCAATTCACTAGCTTTTAACTTTACTTTTTCCTTTGTATTGGCTTAAATCATCCTGTTTCTTTTCATGTGTAATTTCTTTGCCTAAGCAAAGTAGAACTCTACGAATTCTTGTAACCGATTTTGATTTGAAGCATGATGTTATGAACAGTTAAGCTTTTATTTAATTTCCTTTCTTTAATCATGTGTAACTCAATTCATGCATCACATCACTTCTACATCAAACCTCTCAATAAATATATAACTTTCATGGTAAATCTACCCGACAACATTCCTCCCAAAACTAAATTAAAATTCAAAAGCATGTAAAAAACAAAACAAAAAGTAGCATTTTGACTTCATTATTTCACAAATTTTAACTAGAGCTCTCTTAGTACAAAATTAGGACATAAGGACATAAAACTCTTTTATTGCCACAATTTTTATGACACTTAATAGTTTAGTATCTTCTATGGAAATGATTCTCAGCATACTACAAACACTTTTTCAATGTCATACAATCAATCGCTTAATCAAGGATAATATAATCCAATTGATGAAGGCCACTAAAGCCTCACTTCATAGGATTGTGCGCATAACAAAATAGACAATTGAATATTATACATGATTATGTGGATGCGCATCCATATACTAAGAAACACGAAAAGGGCCGAAATCGGCGACGCGAGCGACGGTTGGCAAGGTGCGACACGTCACTAAAGTACTCACCTGACCAATCCAACCCCTAGTGGCTCCCATGGCGTAACACTTTATCTTGTATGGCACTTAGTTCCCATATTCCGGCTGGTGTATTGGTCTAATACCATTTGTAACAGTTCAAACTCTTAACTATCAAGATATTATCTGCTTTGGCCTAAGAGCCTTACGGTTTTGTCATGTTGGTATAATTTCCCAATATATTACCCATCTCATAATTTTTCTAAGATGAAATTTCAACCATTACCAAAAATCACCTCGATGTTAAGAGTTTAGCTTCGTTTACTTAAGGGCTTTCACAATTCGAACAATTCCGTTCGATCCCACAAGCCCCGACGCCTGTGATCAACCTTTCAGCCACCGATTCATCCTTACCGATCTGGCTGATTCCCCAGTCTTCCTCTTCCCCCAAACATTCAGCAGCTACACCTTAACTACAACACTTCAAATACACAATCCAACCCAACTTCCTCAACTTGCTACTATCCAACCCATCTCCAATTACCCACAAGAACCACAAAATTATAGCTTACCGTTGACTGAACCTCAAGAAAGCAACATACCTCAATTACTTGCCTCTTCCACCCAAACAGTAACCTTCCAACCTTCCTCTACAACAAACCCACTCTTCCAATCCATTCACTTAAACAAAACCAGCCTTTTTTATGTTTTTTAGTTATTATTAGCATTATTTTTATTAAGAAAAAAAAAATAGAGAATATAAAAAAAAAAAGAAAAAATAAAAAGAAAAGAGAGAAGATAGAGAGATCAAACAAAAAGGAATTTTGCACGTTTTTGCCATCATCATCGCCCCGACACCGTTGCCACCGTCTCTCGCACAAGGTATAAATTTCCTAAACTTAAAAAAAAACTCTAATTTTGTTTTCGGTGCTAGCGGCGCAATGGGCAGACCATCTATCCACATTTTACTTAGCGTGGTAGAAGGGAGCTCGATGCAATGTTTGCGGCGATATGAGTAAGCCTTGTGTACGCTTTTCTCAGCGTTGCAAGATAAAACTTAAGTACCCATACGTGCTCTCAGGCTGGCAAGGAAAACTTGCAAATTTTCACACAGATACCCTTGCAACCCATCCTTGCCTTTATTGGAGTGGCGGGGTAGAAAACCACGGTCGCGATATCGCACGACACCGACTATGCATGTCTTTTTTGTTGAGGTGGACAAGCCTAGACTCCCAAACATTCCCCTAACGAGGAAGACGCCGGGAGGCTGCCGAAATTTAAATTGACAGGGAACCAGATTTAAGCAAATTACAGGGAATCGGATTAATGCTTAAAATGAAACTACAATATGCACAATAATAAAAATATAACATAAATGAACGAACATAGAACTTGTGGCAAGCAAAGACCTTCAAATACAACTTGCTTGCAAGCAAAAATAAATCAAAATCATGAAAGAATATAAAGACTTGCTTACAACCAATAACACGAAATTTCCAATGAATATTGAAAGTTACCATGCCGATTGAAATGCAAGCACCAACAAGAAACAATCACCTATGGACATCGACAAGGGGGCCTATAGTAAACAAAATAATTTGCCTACGGGCACAAACATGAACTCGTGACACACATGGCAACCCGCTTACAAGAAACTACAAGAGACACGTGATGAATAGATTCTCAGCTAACATGATGATCAACCCATAAGCATCAATAAGGAGGGATTTTTTTTATGAATGCGCTAATCAACTTTCAAACAAACATATAAGTCCCATGTGAACACTGAAAGTCAGTACGCTATGAATGTAAAGAACACACTAATTGCCCACAAGTAATGATATTTGATATGCAATGAATGTTATAGCTTCTTCACATGAACATATCTGAAGAAATTGCACTGAATACGGCGCACTGTCTACAAACAAAGGCAACGAGCTTGTAATAGATGCAAACATCAACAAGCAACAATATAACGTTCATTATGCATACAATAGACTGCACACTGGTATAAATCATGAGACACGTGACTAATGAGGTAGTCCACTTACGAGCGTAAAAGATTATTGGTATGCACAACAACTCACCTACAAAGAGTGTTAGCATAATAGTAGAGAATACAATAGCATGCTTACGAGCCATTATAAGAGACTCGTCATGCACACAACATACAATCTACAAACTAAGACACAATATCTGCAAGCGCTTACAAGCAACATTAAGGATCTATGATGCATATGACA